GGGATGCTCCAGTCTGCAGCCAGACTCCTGCATCAACAGGTCCACTGTCTGACTGTAGATGAGAGGGGGAGGGTGAGCACTTGCAAAGGAGAAATACGAAGTATTTGCAAAAGGAGAGTCAAATAGCATTACTTTATGTACAGGTATTCAAAAATAACATATTTGTTAAATTTCTTATTTTGTCAGAGCCCAGACCAGGTTATAAATAATTAATTTGAATCATGTTTACTAACTTATTACTTGGTCAAGTACAATATCACAATGCCTGATAGGGTGATTCATTGTATCTTTATCAATGACTTGCCAAAGTCATAAACAATTTGACTTGTGCTGTATCAAATCTGTAGACATATTTTTCAAAGTTGGAGGCAAATGTGGTGACTGTTCGATTTTCAAAATTCTTCATGAAAACAGATCGATTTCATGTGATCTTGTGGCTTGATTCACATGCAAATACTATCAAGTAACCAAACATTCTCAAAGCATTCTGTACTAGATTTTCCAGTTTCCATGGTCTTGGCAACTCCCAAGAGTAATGTCATTATAGGCATCTTTTGAATTACACTTAAAAAAATATATATATATAAATAAAAGTCTGCATATGGCTGATGATTAGGGAAGTGTTGTGTCTTTAGGCTACTTAACAAGAAACCTGCATGTTCTTGTTATTTCATGAAGTCCCATTTCTGGACCCCAAAGTAACAGTTAGCTAGCTTCCTACCAAGACTAGCTCAATTGTGCAATAATGGGCCATCTTTCTCCCTTCATACATTTTCTAAAGGACCCATGTTGTATTCAATTTTCCCTCTACAAAACTCCTCTGTTTATCTCACCGAAATAGTCGCTGTCAACATGATGACTTGCTTTATTCGCGGTTATTATGAAGTACATGATTTAGCATCAGCTGACAGCTAGCTAGGAAGCTAACGTTAGCTACTTACTTAAGCCCTAAATCGTGTAAATGTTGCCCTATAAGTCTAATGACATCTTCCTCTGACTGAGAAAGACGTTTCTTCTTTTTCACGGAGTTGGCATCCGAAGACACGGTGTTGTTGGATGCCGCTGGGGCTGTGATACCGTTGTTGTTACTGACAGAGTTCCCATTGTTTGTTGTGGATAGTCCATTAGTGTGAGCTCCCCCCGCGGAGGACGACTCTCCGTTTTGCGCACTGTTGTTTAGGCAGGACAGCTCCGAATCTTGACCCTGTCCTGCCCCGTTGGCCTGCATGTTATTAATGTTGATATGGGCTACACTGTGCGGATTTAATCGAATGACAGGAGCAACGGGTGAATTCGGAAAAGTTAAAAGCCCCACAATAACTGCAGACAGGGCCTCTGACCCAATTGCAGCCCCGAGCTCCCCTGCTCCCTCCGCCACCGAAGCTCGGTATTTCTTCCGCGGTGGCGGCGAAGCTCCGCCGGTTTCCGAGTCGGAGGAAGCGGAGGCCAGAGTTAATTCGCAAAGAGCGTTGGTGACAGAATGATGTCAAGTAGGGGCTAGCAAAGGTGTCAGAGACGAAACAATAACTCGTTTTTATCGCTGAGCTTCTCCTGTTATTGTTGCTCTCCAGACAACTGAAGACCCATTATGGATATTGAGACGCAGTGACGTCACCGGAAATTCCGACACTACCTTGTGTCCGGGTAGTCCATATGTGGCGCCCTTGATGTTCATCCTGAACTTTGTTTGTTTCACAAGTTAATACACCTTTTTATATTTATTTGTTTTATATTTTAATTGATTAATTATCTCTCGGGAAAATGATACAAGTTGTTTACGATAAAAGGGTACATCTGCAGTTCTAACAATAACAGTGACCGTCCCGCTGCTGTATGTAACCACTGTAACCACTCTCAAATTCATAGACGAGCTATGGATGCAAGGATTGACCATCCGTGACGTCAAAGTTATAGAATTAACCAAGTTGAGGCTATACAGCTTTTGTTTCAAATTACATTGTTTACACACATTGGAGTAAAACAGCTTATATTTTCAGTTCTGATGGGGTACGACAGTTGAACTAAGCTCATGAGACAATATGTTGTATTCTTCAAGAATCAATGAGTATATATCATTAATTTAAAGGCTAAAAATGGAAGTTGCAATTGCAGATTGCCCCTTAAATTTTTTTTCAAGCTACAACAAAAAGGGGATCTCTACTCAGCGAGCAAAATTGGTTGAAACGTCTTTTCAACGTCTTGTGCTCATAAGGTTCTGCAACTTCTGCATGAAATGGATCAACGTCACACTATCAACATATGCGACAACTTTATGTTTTTCCAATGAGGACACAACAGACTTACTCAAAACACACTAAATAAAGAAAGTATTGGGGACCATGGTTTAATTTCTTTTTTTAATCAATACACTTGAAAATGACAAATAATTTAAATGAAATACATTAAAGATAAATTAAACTCAAACACAGATAGTTTACAGACCATTCAAAGTGCCATTTTATTCCCAAGCCTGAGGTTCTTTAAAATACAAATCGAGAAACTGCAAAGACCTGCATTTCGGCCACATGTACAGCGACCAAAGCCATTCCTTCAACATTGGCACTTTTACATTGGTTTAAAAAAGGAAATCTGTCCCTGACATCTGCAATAAATTAATTTCATGAACAGTAAACTGTATGTACAACTTATAGACTCATTAGTCCTGTATCCCTTCACTTTAAATAGAATCTCAGCATGAATGAAACTTAGTTATAAAAATATTAATTAAAGGGCTAGGAATGTTTTAATTTGTGTAAGGGGCAAGCGAGGACAGAGGGTTGTAGAAGAATAAACTATTGCACTTTCATCCAATTTCGGAGAAAAGACGCTGATGGGGATACAATATGAGCAAAATAAACTCACCCGCACCTGCAATACTGTCCACATATCCACCTTACATACACACAAACAAACATACAGTGCTATGAAAAAGTATTTGCCCCCTTTCTAATTCTCTACTTTTGCATATTTTTGATAATGAATGTTATCAGAGCTTCAACCAAAACCTAATATTAGATAAAGGGAACCCGAGTGAACAAATAACACAACAATTACATACTTATTTCATAAACAAAGTTTTGCAACACCCAATGCCCCTGTGTGAAAAAGTAATTGCCCCCTTACACTCAATAACTGCGTGTGCCACCTTTAGCTGCAATGACTCTAACCAAACGCTTCCTGTAGTTACTGATCAGTCTCTCACGTTGACTAGGCAATTCAAAAAATTCAAATTTGTTGCTTTTTAGCCATTTTCATGTAGACTTGATTGTGTGTTTTGGATTATTGTCTTGCTGCATGACCCAGCTGTGCTTCAGCTTACAGACAGAGAATTCTACAGGAGAATGTCAGGCTGATACAGCAAGCATTTTGCTACACCCACAATAACATCTGCTAAATATGTGTATGTGACCAATATAATTATATTTGATACAGAGCATAATTTATGGTTCCTTCTATTAAGAACAAGTTGTCCAGGTCCTGAGGCAGCAAAGCATCCCCAAACCATCACACTACCACCACCGTGGAATGCAGTGTTTGGTTTTTCACCAGACATAATGGGACCCATGTCGTCCAAAAAGTTATACTATCTGTCCATAGCACATTCTTCCAAGAGCCTTGATGATCATCCAGGTGCTTCCAGGTGGTTTTTGGCAAACTTGATTCAACTTTAATCCAAAACACACAATCAAGTCTACATGAAAATGGCTAAAAAGCAACATATTCGAAGTTTTGGAATGGCCTAGTCAAAGTCCAGACCTAATCCCAATTGAGATGTTGTGGCAGGACTTGAAACAAGCAAATGTCGCTGAGTTAAAGCAGTTCTGCATGCAAGAGTGGGCCAAAAATCTTCCACAGCGATGTGAGAGACTGATCAACAACTAGAGGAAGCATTTGGTTGCATTCATTGCAGCTAAAGGTGGCACAACCAGTTATTGAGTGTAAGGGGGCAATTACTTTTTCACACTGGGGAATAGGGTGTTGCATAACTTTGTTAATTAAATAAATAAAGTAGTTTTCTTGTTGTTGTTATTTGTAAACTCAGGTTCCCTTTATCTAATATTAGGTTTTGGTTGAAGATCTGATAACATTCAGTTTCAAAAACATGTAAAAATAGAGAAAATCAGAAAGGGGGCAAATAATTTCAGGGCACAGCCTTTCTACCCACCGGAATACCCATATGGCCACAGGTGTCAGCTACTCACAAAGACCTGATGACCACAAACTCTAAAATACCATGAATCACTCTTGCTTGACAACATGTATACACCCACACCTGCAACGCCTCCAAAAACCACAAAAACATTCAACCTGTCTCCAATTTTACACCTGAGCACTCACACCTGGGTTCTGTACCCATCATAGCGCTTGATGGTTTTTTGCGACTGCACTTGAAGAACCCACACCCACACACACACTTAACCTTCAAAACACACTACCATCTTATCTCAGGTCATCTTCATCTCCAAGCAGTTTGGAGATACTGTAACAAACACAATGAAATCCATTATTTTCCAAATATAACGTTTTTTGTAAAAGGGGGAAAATATTCCAAATTAGGCATTTAGTCCAACAGCCATGATGCATCTGGCTTGAGTGTGTCGTAAGGATGACATTGTAGTGAATACATGAATATGTGTTTGTCAGACGGTGTGTGTCTGAATAAGAGTGTTTGTCTAAGACTGTGTGTAAATATGTGTGACTATACAGTAGTGTGATATGTGTTCATAAGTCTGTAGTGCAAGTAGCTGAGCACTATTTTGAAAAGCTTTGTAGTTTGCAAAACAAGTATTTGAACAGGCAAGGTGGGGGGGGGGGGGGGGGGGGGGGGGCATTGCGCAAATCTTCTCTCTTTGCAAGATGTACATATCCTCTTACATACTTTGCAATTCTGAAAGATGGAGTGTTGGTATAAGCGTTAATTCAGATCTCACTTATACATTAGAATGTATATTTCTGATTATGTGTGTGCGTGTGTGTTTCTGTGAGCGTTGACACGCAGGTCAGGAGTTGTCCACCACTTGGTGTGGCAGGGTGACCGAGGAGCCGTTGATGAAGGAGCCCTGTTTTTCTCGACCCTTCAGAAAGTAGGTGAGCAGCTCTCCTTTCCCCTTCACAAAGATGGGTCCCCTCCTCACAAAACGGAATCCGTACTCCTTCAAGATGTGGTAGCAATCTTCCACCACCTGGTGGCAGCAGAATCACATTGAATTTTAGGTGATTAATCTCAGCATGCACACTTATGTGTTTTCTGCCCAGATTTGGTAATCCACTTAAAGCTATTCCCTGATGTAAAACCCCACAATCTAAATAGTAATCAAACAAAGTAAGATTATTCTTGTGTTATTATAGCCATCTGGGAGAAAATGCCTGCATTCCAGGGTAACTACATTGCAGTCAACCAATGGTTGCATGCCACATCATTGACTGCACGGTCGGGTATCAGTTTGCTATATCTGGTTTTGAGATCTTGCAGGTGACTGCAATGCCACTATCACTCATTGTAGGCTATCAAGTGCTCCTGCTCAGTCCTCACCAGAAATCAGGTACATCAACGATCTTACAGGCCAGCGCTACAGCTATAACGGATTTTCACCTCACTACTTATCACATCCTGCATCTCATCGCACCCTGTATGGAGAGGCCTTACCTGGACGTTACCCATGACCCCTGTGGACTCCATGCGACTGGCCACATTCACAGTGTTGCCCCAGATGTCATAGTGAGGCTTCCGGGCTCCAATAACTCCAGCCAGCACCCCCCCTTTATTCAAACCTGAGGAGAGGAGGAAGTATGGGATATATGATATGCATGCAGTACAAAACTAGGATACGCTCTCCATTCTCCTCTCACCTTAAAATATATGGCTGAAGGTTAGCACTGACCTATGCGTAGCATAAAGTTGTTGAAGGACTGGTAGTTGATGTTCATGAGCGTGACCTTCATGGCCAGAGCAAAGTCAGCCAGATCTGCCAAATGCTGCCAGCGCTCTCTGTCAGTCAGCTCCTCTTTCTGCACAACAGATCACTCTACCTTAACCATCTTCATCAAGTTAAGTGAATTAATTTGATCATCACCACCGCTACGATCATCATCACCCATAAAATTAACATATCCTCTGTAGAAGATCAGTCCTAAAGCTCTTGAATACATTTCTGACCTGCTACCACAAACAGTATAAGATGCTCTAGACTGAGTTCATCAGGAGTTTTGGTAAGGAGTTTACATGGCTTAGTGTTATTCAGGAGTTATCTGCTGTTAACTATAGGAGTTCACATGATTATGTCATATTATAGGAGTTTACAAGTTTATCTGATGCTATTGGAGTTTACATGATTATCTGATGCTATAGGAGTTTACATGGCTAGTTTAAGCCTCCTCTGACCCAGACCCAGTGGCTGATGACCATGGTAATGAGCTAACCTTCAGACAGGCGTAGCCGTTGCTGACGTCGGGAGTGACCCCTGACGCTGCCATGTAGGTGCTGCCAATGGTTTTGATCTTGGTGATGCAGCGGAACTGAGACTCGTCCAGGAGCTGTCAGAGGTTAAAGGTCACGGTTTGAAAGGTCAAGTCTCAAAGTGTTAGGCAGCAACTTTATTTCCTATATAGTGGGAATACATGGGGAATAGGGAGTCATAACATACAGTACTTCCATTGTTATAGCAAGCTAGTTTCAACATTTGCATGACTGTTACAATTCACAAAACGAAATTATGGATTTATGAGCTTCTTACACTGTCAAAATCGGAGATGATTTCGTTGAGGAACCTGAGGCACTCAATCCCCCCATTGTTGATGCTCTCCTCTGTGTAGAAGTCAGAGAAGTTGGGGATGGAGGCGAACATCACCCCAATCTCATCATATGACTGGCTGTACAGCTCCTGGAAGGGGTATATATTTCAGATTAACAGATGTACAGAAATAGATAACTCAAGAGTATAACTCCAGCTGTAACCTGTGCAATAGCTGAACAAACCTTACCACTGTGATAACATGGGGGCTGATCACCGCTGCTGATACCTCTCTCAACTCCAGGAACTATACATGTATTGGTCCCACTTCACAGTGAGTGCCCTAAAACCTATGTATTTACTAGGGCTGGCACAAAACTGTCATAACAGTATACAGTTGAAGTCGGAAGTTTACATACACTTAGGTTGGAGTCATTAAAACTCGTTTTTCAACCACTCCACACATTTCTTGTTAACAAACTATAGTTCTGGCAAGTCGGTTAGGACATCTACTTTGTGCATGACACAAGTCATTTTTCCAACAATTGTTTACAGACAGATTATTTTACTTAATCACAATTCCAGTGGGTCAGAAGTTTACACAATTCCAGTGGGTGAGTATACTGTGACGTTCTGGCTCCGGGACTCTTAGTAGTGAGCCAGGGTTGTCATTTTCATTTGGGTGTAGTTCATTGTGGGATCTAGTTGTTTCATTTCTATGTTTGGTGTTGATGTTGATTTAGTCATATGACTCCCAATCGGAGGTAACGAGTGTCAGCTGTCGGCTCGTTATCTCTGATTGGGAGCCATATTTATACTGTGTGGTTTCACTTTGGTTTTGTGGGTTTTTGTTCCATGTTTCTGTCAGTGTTACAGAGGACTTCACTATCGTCATTTGTTGTTTTTTGTGGTTGCTTTATTAAATAAAGTCATCATGTTCACTCCACGCGCTGCGTATTGGTCCGCTTCTTCAGACGATCGTGACAGAAAAACCCACCATAAAGGGACCAAGCAGCGCGTCCAGGAACAAAGGGTCTGGACATGGATGGAACTGTTGGACGGTAAAGGGTCCTGGACTTGGGAGGAGATCCTGGATGGTATGGATCGCCGACCATGGAACGAGACGGTGGAGAGGCGACGGCGAGAGGAGCAACGGCATCGGCAGGGCCATCGTCGGAAGGACGAGAGGCAACCCCAAAAAGTTTTTTGGGGGGGGCACATGGCTTGGGCGACTGAGCAGCAGGAGGCTGCCACAAGGCAGATTCAGAAGGCTACCAGGTTAAGGGGGCTGAAGGAGGCAGAGAAGGGACGGATTCAGGAGGCTACCAGGTTAAGGGGGTCACTGGCCAAAGTAGGGAAAGGAGATGTAGAGGCACGGCGTGAGAGACTGAGGTGTGTATCCAGTCCGGTCCGGCCCGTTCCTAATCCCGAGGTACAGCCAGTAGTGTGTGTCCCCAGTACGGTACGGCCTGTTCCGGCCCCTCGCACTAAGTGTACGGTGCGCGTCGCCAGCCCAGCCCGGCCTGTTCCTGAGCCTCATACGAAGCCTACGGTGCGCGTCGCCAGCCCAGCCCGGGCCTGTTCCGGCCACTCGCACCAGGGATACGGTGCGCTTCGCCAGCCCGGCCCGGCCTGTTCCGGCCACTCGCACCAGGGATACGGTGCGCGTCGCCAGCTCAGCCCGGCCTGTTCCTACTCCACGCACCAGGGATACGGTGCGCTTCGCCAGCCCGGCCCGGCCTGTTCCGGCCACTCGCACCAGGGATACGGTGCGCGTCGCCAGCTCAGCCCGGCCTGTTCCTACTCCACGCACCAGGGATACGGTGCGCTTCGCCAGCCCGGCCCGGCCTGTTCCGGCCACTCGCACCAGGGATACGGTGCGCGTCGCCAGCCCAGCCCGGCCTGTTCCTACTCCACGCACCAGGGATACGGTGCGCTTCGCCAGCCCGGCCCGGCCTGTTCCGGCCTCTCGCACCAGAGATACGGTGCGCGTCGCCAGCCCAGCCCGGCCTGTTCCTGCTCTCCGCACTAGGCCTACGGTGCGTCCCCAGGGCCAAGCATGCCCTGTTGCTTCTCCCCGCACTAGCCCTGAGATGCGTGTCCTCAGCCCGGTACCTCCAGTTCCGGCACCACGCATCAGGCCTACGGTGCGTCCCCAGGGCCAAGCATGCCCTGTTGCTTCTCCCCGCACTAGCCCTGAGATGCGTGTCCTCAGCCCGGTACCTCCAGTTCCGGCACCACGCATCAGGCCTACGGTGCGTCCCCAGGGTCCAGTATGCCCTGTTGCTTCTCTCCGCACTAGCCCTGAGATGCGTGTCCTCAGCCCGGTACCTCCTGTTCCGGCACCACGCACCAGGCCTACGATGCGCCTCAGACAGCCAGAGTCTGCAGTCTGCCCAACGGGGCCTGAACTGTCCGTCTGCCCAACGCCGTCTGAACTGCCCGTCTGCCCAACGGCGCCTGAACTGCCCGTCTGCCCAACGCCGTCTGAACTGTCCGTCTGCCCAACGCCGTCTGAACTGCCCGTCTGTACTGAGCCTGCAAAGCCGCCCGTCTGCCATGAGCCTTCAGAGCCGTCCGCCAGACCGGAGCCGCTAGAGCTCTCCGCCAGACAGGATCAGCCAGAGCCTTCCGCCAGACAGGATCAGCCAGAGCCTTCCGCCAGACAGGATCAGCCAGAGCCTTCCGCCAGACAGGATCAGCCAGAGCCTTCCGCCAGACAGGAGCAGCCAGAGCCTTCCGTCAGACCGGATCAGCCAGAGCCTTCCGCCAGACGGGATCAGCCAGAGCCTTCCGCCAGACGGGATCAGCCAGAGCCTTCCGCCTGCCATGAGCAGCCAGATCCGTCAGCCAGCCATGAGCAGCCAGATCCGTCAGCCAGCCATGAGCCGTCCAGCCAGGATCCGCCAGAGCCGTCCAGCCAGGATCCGCCAGAGCCGTCCAGCCAGGATCCGCCAGAGCCAGCCAGCCAGGATCCGCCATTTAGTCAGGTGCTGCCCCTTAGTCCAGTGCTGCCCCTTAGTCCAGTGCTGCCCCTTAGTCCGGTGCTGTCCCTCAGCCTGGTGCTGCCTCTTAGTCCGGTGCTGCCCCTTAATCCAGGTGGGTTTAAGTGGAGGGTGGTCATTGGGAGGAGGTTAAGAAAGCGGGTAGTAACTATAGTGGGGTGGTGGTCAAGCCCGGAGCCGGAACCGCCTCCGGGGAGCAACACCCACCCAGCCCTCCCCTATTGTGGGGTTGTGAGGCGCGGTCGCAGTCCGCGCCTTTAGGGGGGGGTACTGTGACGTTCTGGCTCCGGGACTCTTAGTAGTGAGCCAGGGTTGTCATTTTCATTTGGGTGTAGTTCATTGTGGGATCTAGTTGTTTCATTTCTATGTTTGGTGTTGATGTTGATTTAGTCATATGACTCCCAATCGGAGGTAACGAGTGTCAGCTGTCGGCTCGTTATCTCTGATTGGGAGCCATATTTATACTGTGTGGTTTCACTTTGGTTTTGTGGGTTTTTGTTCCATGTTTCTGTCAGTGTTACAGAGGACTTCACTATCGTCATTTGTTGTTTTTTGTGGTTGCTTTATTAAATAAAGTCATCATGTTCACTCCACGCGCTGCGTATTGGTCCGCTTCTTCAGACGATCGTGACATATACACTAAATTGACTGTGCCTTTAAACAGCTTGGAAAATTCCAGAAAATGATGTCATGGCTTTAGAAGCTTCTGATAGGCTAATTGACATCATTTGAGTCAATTGGAGGTGTACCTGTGGATGTATTTCAAGGCCTACCTTCAAACTCAGTGCCTCTTTGCTTGACATCATGGGAAAATCAAAAGAAATCAGCCAAGACCTCAGAAAAAGAAAAGTTGTAGACCTCCACAAATAGGTTCATCCTGGAGCAATTCCAATGCCTGAGGTACACGTTCATTGTACAAACAATAGTACGCAAAATATAAACACCATGGGGACCATGCTAGCCGTTACCGCTCAGGAAGGAGACGCGTTCTGTTCAGATGACGACGTGGCAATTACAGCCCAAGTCTTCTTAGGTATGACGCTACAGCTTGGCACACGGTATTTGGGAGTTCTTCATTCTTCTCTGCAGTCCTCTAAAGCTCGTCAGGTTGGAGGGAATTCTTCAAGCTTATTCGGTATCCCCAGAGATGTTCGATCAGGTTCAAGTCCGGGCTTGGTGGGCCACTCAAGGACATTCAGAGACTGACCTGAAGCCACTCCCGCGTTGTCTTAGCTGTGTGCTTAGGGTCGTTGTCCTGTTGGAAGGTGAACCGTCGCCCCAGTCTGAGGTCCTGAGCGTTCTGGAGCAGGTTTTCATCAAGGATCTCTCTGTACTTTGCTCCGTTCGTCTTTGCCTCAATCCTGACTAGTCTCCCAGTCCCTCCCACTGAAAAATATCCCCACAGCATGATTCTGCCACCACCATGCTTCACCGTAGGGATGGTGCCAGATTTCCTCCAGACGTGACACTTGGCATTCAGGCCAAAGAGTTCGATCTTGGTTTCATCAGACCAGAGAATCTTGTTTCTCATGGTCTGCGAGTCTTTAGGTGCCTTTTGGCAAACTCCAAAAGTTGTCATGTGCCTTTTACTGAGGAGTGGCTTCCATCTGGCCACTTTACCATAAAGGCCTGATTGGTAGAGTGCTGCAGAGATGGTTGTCCTTCTGGAACGTTCTCCCATCTCCACAGAGGAACTCTTGAGCTCTATCAGAGTGACCAAGGCCCTTTTCCCCAGATTGCTTAGTTTGGCCGGGCGGCCAGCTCTAGGAAGAGTCTTGGTGGTTCCAAACTTCTTCCATATAAGAATGATGTAGGCCACTGTGTTCTTGGGGACTTTCAATGCTGCAGATTTTTTTTGGTACCCTTCCCCAGATCTGTGCCTTGACACAATCCTGTCTCAGAGCTCGACGGACAATTCCTTCAACCTCATGGCTTGGTGTTTACTCTGACATTTACTCTGACATGCACTGTCAACTGTGGGACCTTATATAGACAGGTGTGTGCCTTTCCAAATCATGTCCAATCAATTGGATTTACCACAGGTGAAGTCCAATCAAGTTGTAGAAACATCTCAAGGATGATCAATGGAAACAGGATGCACCTGAGCTTAATTTTGAGTCTCATAGCAAAGTTTCTGAATACTTA